CCCCCCAGGCAATGGTGGGGCTAGGGCACAGTCCTGTCCCTGGAACACAGCAATTGAGCCTCACCCTCAGGAAGCGTGATGAGCTAGGTGTCTTTTGGGAGTGGCCCAGGGCGCACATCAGTTTGAGAGCCAGGGAGGGGCATGTGTGTGCTAGAGAGATGGGGAAGGGGAGGACATGGTGCTGCGGGACAGGCAAGACCTTCCTCCCCCTTCTCCTCAAGAGAACTCAGGGTCAGGAGGGCGGGTGGGCCGGCCTCCCAGCCTGGGGATCACTCTCCCCTCACTGTGGCCCACGGCCTCACCCAGCTTGGAGACCGCGCTCAGCACCTCCTGGCTCTGGGTCACCTGGAAGCACCCGTTCCTTCTCTGCACCCAGGCACAATGACCTGCCCTGGCAGCTGCTGACCAAGTTCAACAACCGGCTGGGAGACCAGCGGGCCGACCTCCACACCCTGAGTGGCACACACACCAACATCCCCAAGCTGAAGGCTGGCTTCGTGGGCGGCCAGGTTCGGCTCCCGACCCTGGGGGAGGACCCCACACCCATGTGGGCTGGTGGGGAGGAGTCAGGTCTTGGACGGGAAGGGGGCCCGGGGCTGTTCCCAGCCCCCACCTGCTCCACAGTTCTGGTCGGCATACACTCCCTGCGATACTCAAAACAAAGACGCCGTGAAGAGGACGCTGGAGCAGATGGACGTCATCCACCGCATGTGTCAGAGGTACCCGGAGACCTTCACCTGCGTCACCAACAGCTCAGGTGGGGGCCGTCTGCATCTGCCTCAGGCTCCAGGGGTCCTTGTCCCACACATCCTAGACCTGGATCCCTGCTGAAGGGCCCAAGTTCCCACCCCACCCAAGTATCCTGGGCCCCTTACTCTGTCCGAGGGTCCCAGGGATCCCAAATGCCTCTATCCTCCCTCAGGAATCAGGCAAGCCTTCCAAGACAAGAAAGTGGCCAGCCTCATTGGCGTGGAAGGCGGCCACTCCATTGACAGCAGCCTGGGCGTCCTGCGCGCGCTCTACCACTTGGGCATGCGTTACCTGACCCTGACTCACAGCTGCAACACTCCCTGGTGAGCCCCGCACCCCCACCCCCAGGGATGTCGCATTCTGCCCGAGTCCTCACCTTACTTGCGGGGCAGGCAGTAGCCGCCCCACTCCAGACCACTTTGTCCCCCAGGGCTGACAACTGGCTGGTGGACACAGGAGAGAATGATGCCGAGAGCCAGGGCCTGTCACCCTTTGGGGAGGTGAGTGGGGGGCAGGGCCATGATGCCCAGGGAAGGCAGGGAGCAGGGGTCATCAGCAGCAGCAGCTCAGAGCATTCATAGCGGGCTCCCCCTCCTGGGGAGGGGGCAGACTTGCCGGACCACTGTCTCTCTTTGAATGCTGAGTGACAGCCAAATAGCCTCTCGGGAGCCGGTGCCAGGATGGTGGGCTCCACAGAACCCAGGGCCCAGATCATCTGGGCCGGGCTCTTGGAACCTGAGCTGCCCCCCACAGTTGGTGCTGAAGGAGATGAACCGCCTGGGTGTCCTTGTGGACCTGGCCCACGTGTCCAAAGCCACCATGCTTGCTGTTCTGAAAAAGTCTGCAGCTCCGGTCATCTTCAGCCACTCCTCGGCCTACGAGATCTGCCAGCACAGGCGCAATGTGCCTGATGACGTGCTGCGGCTGGTGGTGCGTAGACTAGGTGGAGGTGTGGCCATCAGGGAAGGGGCACTAGGTGGTGGTGGAGTGGGGGTAGGGACCAGAGGGGAGGTAGAGATCAGGCCTGGACTCCTGCCCTGAAAGCGAGCATCTCCCTGGCCGACCCCACCCTAGAACCAGACAGGCAGCCTGGTGATGGTGAACTTCTACAACGACTACGTGTCATGCGGACAGGAGGCCACACTCTCCCAAGTAGCAGGTGGGTGGTGGTGCGGAGCCCATGACCTGGTGGGAGGGGAGGTTGGGTGGGGCCTGGTGCATACCTGCCTGCCTCCCTGCAGACCACTTGGATCACATCAAGAAGGTGGCGGGTGCTGGAGCAGTGGGCTTTGGTGGGGACTTTGATGGCGTTTCCAGGTGAGGGCCTGAGGTCTGTGTCTTTAAAGTCTCCATCCCTGGACATTTTGTCCAGAGGGGCTGGAGGTCCCCAGGACACTCACTGTTGCTGCCCAACCCCCTGGGGCCGGCCCTCTGTCTGCACAGGGTGCCCGTGGGCCTGGAGAATGTGTCCAAATACCCAGACCTGGTGGCCGAGCTGCTGCGGAGGCAGTGGACAGAGGCGGAGGTCCGGGGTGCCCTGGCTGACAACCTGCTGCGAGTCTTCGAGAGAGTGGAGCAGGTGAGGCCGGACTGCCCACGCCCACTGCCCCTTGGCTCCCAGTGCTGCGGGCACCTGAGCCCCTTGTCTGCCCCTAGGTGAGCAGTCAGAGTCACACACAAACTCCCGAGGAGGAGCCCATCGACCTGGACAAGGTGGAGGGGTCCTGCAGGACCAAGTACGGCTACTCCGCTGCCCCTGGCTTCCACCACCAGCTGGGGATCCTGCCGGCCGCCCTCACCCTGGTCCTGCTGAGCAGTGGGTGCCCACTATGAGGCCCGGGACCAGACACTGCCCTCCAACTCCTTGAGCAGAGACTAGCTGATTAAGCAGAGATTTCGCCAGTTGCCCCGAGCTCAAGGCAAGGGACACATGGGATCTCAATAAAGGCCCTGACTGCCCCCTTCCAGTCCTGAGTGCATGTTGTCACGAGCTGCCCAGTGGCAGGAAGGGCTGGGGTGTGTGTGGGGGGGTGTTCTGAATGTCCCGGGACAGAGTGTAAAGACACCTGACTTGACGTGGCCCAACAAATCCTGGGAGGCCAAGAAGCCTGGAAAGGGGCATCTCAGCCAGCTACCGCCTCCCCGTGTGCACACAGACCCTCACCCTCACAGACACCCCCCAACAGCACTCACATGAGTACAGGGTACACACACACATCCCTACCACAGCACTCATGTGTGCACACCCTCACAGACACGTGCACACCCCCCCTTAGAGCAGCACTCCCATGCATGCACAAACAGACATGTGCACATACACCTGCCTGTCTCAGCTCAGCAGAGCTGGGGGGGTACTAGGCCCGGGTACTTCACTTGCAGAATCACTATTTCCCACTCCCCCAGGTTTATCCAGTGGGCCCTGCATGCCCGTCTGCACTGCCCCACAGATGTTTCTAAGTCTCTCCTAGCAGGTGAGACAGGCCCCACAGGAAGTCCCCACCCACATTCCCCTGGTCTTGAGCCAGGCCAGCACACCAAGTCAAACGCAAGCCCACTACCACTGTCGCTTCGAGCTCGGTGACCCCCCACGGTGATTCCAAGGCTGTGAATCTTTATAGGAGCAGCCAGCCCCAACTTTCTTGGACCTTCAAAGCCCACATCATGTGGTCTGCATTCCTGGGGTGACCGTCCATCAGGTGTCCTGAGGTGTGACTACACCTGGTCACTGGCTGGACTTCATCATGATGTGTTGAGGGGGCAGTAAGGGTGGGGACACAAGACTGCCCTCGGGACAGATGGGCCCATGGGTGGAGGGGTGTTACAGGCCCTGATGGCCCACAACCCACCTCCTCCCAGCTGTCCCCAACCCATGCCCTAGAGGCCAGCGATCACATCCTTCCAGGGACACTCCATCTCAGCTAACCATGTGGAATCTCAAGGGGCGTTCTTGGAACACGTCAAGGTTGTGAATGGAATAATCAAGGTCCTATCTTGGTTGGGGGACCCTAAGGAGGGGGGTGTCAGGGCCTGCCTGGCCAGTGCCATCGGAGCAAGCATGACCTGGCTGGTTGGTGGTTAATCGGGTGCGCCCAGGGGTGCCAGCGAGGCCACTCAGAGGCAGTGCGTGTTATATCCTTTATGTCAGCTGAATGTCACTTCCAAGCGAAAGGAGAAATAAGTCTCAAAACAGCAGATTCCGATTCTGTTAACCCAGCATCCCTCCCTCCAGCTCACAGCCACCAAGCCACCTCCTTAGCCTCACAGTTGGGGGTCAAGGTCCCCCATGGCCTGAAGCCCTTAAGCACTATCATTGTGGCCCCCAGGGGCCTGTCCACTTTCAGTAGCATTTTAGCAGGGGTTATAGAAAAGTCGAAGGGGCAGGTGAGCCCACTCCTTTAGGTGAATTCTGCAGGTGAAGCTGGCAGGGGCACCCATCTGCACCCCATGTGCCGGGAACCATCCAGGCCACTGCCATAGCCGTATAGCCTGGGCACCCCGCCATCAGCGGGTCTGCAGAGCTGTGCAAAGAGCAAGCCAGCAGGGGCACCTGGGAGGCTCTAGCCTCAGCTCAGATGGGTGAACAGGGGCCCAGGGTCTGTCTGACACCTGCTCTTCTATTTTGGCAAAAGTACAAACAAAAAGCCCTGGAAGCTTCAAGAAAAACAACGGAAATGATAGAAAACGGAAAAAACAGGAGCCTGGGCCCCCAGCCCTCACAGCAACCCCTGCTGGCTCCTTTGCTGACAGGGTTGCTGTGGAGGGGTGTGATGTGGGTATGGGTGTGGGCAAGGCCACATTCCCCAAGGTTCCTGGGGACAGACACACAGATGGGAGCCGAGGGGTTGGAGGAACTGGGAGGGCCACCCTTTTACTTATACAGATGGGAAAGGGAGACCCCATCCCATGGGGTAACCAGGCGTGGCACCCAGGAACAGGGGCAGGGGGACGAGGGTCTCACACAGCATGCACACCCAGCATGCTCAGGGTGTGGGCAGCCCTGAGGCCCTCGCCAAGGGGTGGCCTTCTGAGGAGGTACAGTACACACCAACTGCTGTCCAGGGGGCACTGGCCATGGGCGGGGCAGCCTGGGGTCTTGCCTGACTCCCGACTCTCTTGCTGGAATGGTGTGGGGAGGGCTCTGACTGTGAAGGCCACCAGGAAGGTGGGTGGCACTGGGGGTATCGCCGAGAGACACTCTGGCAGGCCTCCTGGTGGACAGGGCAGCCTGGACAGTGCTGACCGGTGGCAGCATGCCTGCACCTGTGGTCAGGGGGATAACGACACCACCTCCCCAGAAGCTTGTGCTAATTCACACCAGTAGATCCACCACCAGACTAAGGGACAGTCCCTAGCCGAGGGGCCAGGCCGGTGTGAGGAGCCGAGGTGGTTGTGGACAGAAAGAAGGAAGACACGGGCGGGGGGACTCCTTGTTTGCCCTCCAGGCTGTCCAGGATGGGAGGCCATCCACAGCGGCTCCTTAATTCCTCAGGGCTGCCAACCTGGAAGAGGTCAGAGCAGGCTGTTGGGGACAGCAGGGACCTGAGCTGCACAGAATTGCTGGACCAATGTCCCTTCCCGCTGAGATGCAACTTGGCCAGGCTGCCCTGTGAAGGTGTAGGGAGAGGTGGGGACCCCGACTAGTGTCGGCACCACCTTTCAGGGGCGGAGTGGCAGCAGGAAAGGCTAACCAGGCAGGCAGGCTCTGGGAAGGATGTCCATCCCTCCCAAGATTCTTCCACCAGAGCACCTGGGCGCCCTCCCCGTCACTCCCCTAGCCACTGGTGGCCACACACCTGCGTGACAGCTGGTCCTCCTGGCTGCGCACAGAGCTCTCGCCTACAGCAGAGGCGCCCGCGGGCAGCTGGCTGAGCTGGTCAAGGACCTCCAGGCCGTTCTCCTCCGCGATCTGCATGATAAGACTGTCCACCTGCTCCTGTGGCGTGGTCAGCGTGGTGGCCGAGCTCATGGAGTCCTCCATCACC